ATATTGAGTATCTTGAGTAGACAACTATTTATAAATACTTGTACATTCTTGATGATGATTGTTGTAGTTCTCCACGTTTCAGCTTCATACGGTAGAACTGCCTTGACGTTTGTATTGAAGATTGTGACTTTGATATTGGTTGGTAGTTGTTTTGAGTTCCATATGTTCTTCAATTGAAGGAATGCAATCCTTATTTTGCCAATTCTCGCCTTTACGTTTGCATTTGATCCTCCTTGTTCATCGACATCATCAATACTGTTTGGCACAAATATGCACTGACCCAGGTTACCATATCACATCGACACGACAAAATGAAATTTGCAGTACTTATAATAAAACAGACCTGAATGACTTAATAATAATGACAACAAAAAGTTGAGGATTGTGAATAAACTTCGAAAAGAAACATTGGAAAAGTATTTAAGAACAAATATCGGTATACAAGATCTAAGGGAAGATAAAGAGTTGATGCTTCTGTACCACTTTGAACGATTTCGAATCGTGTCGCCTATAATATCCAGCTGCTGATCATCGTTGTTGTGCGGATCTCAACAGGGCAGTCCGCGTAAACCTGCATGGAATTATGTCATTTATTGATGTGGATGTCCTTAGCTTTCTTCTAATCAACTCTTCAAAAAAATTATTATTGCCTGTCAAGGTAAATGGTGATTAGGAATACGTAACACATATCCTGATCATCTCAGTCGATAAGCATTTACAACTTCAACCTATTTGTCACCTTTGGGTAGTATCCTATGCCTAACCTGAACATTGCTCACCCGGTTGTGCCAAGAAACGCGAGCAATGCTTTTCAGACACTGATCATGATAAGCCTTTATCCTGTGTTCTCTACTCTCATACTATGTTTCAATACTGTAAAGTAATATTGAAGAGATTTCTACTCATCATCCAGGCCCTTTGGTAGGGAGTCGGGCATATTGTATACGCCATAAGTGATGCAAAGCGCTAAAAGCCAACCGGATTTTCCGAGTTCATATCGAGATTTCGTCACCGGGACTGATGAGATTTCTAAGTGAAGTAGTTGATAAGTTCAAACAATTCACTCTATGTCATTAGTTTGAGCTTTAATTCAAACCAATTCTAAAGAAACATTTTTCATTTGAAGGGATAAAAACTCATTCCAAAGATGTTAGCATTGTCGCTCAAATTGATCAAAATACTGCTCATTCTTAACCTTTTGATTTGAGATGTTGATAAATACTACTTATATACTGATAGGTGTTTGGATATCGTTCCAGGCTTCTTCAGTATAAGCTGTTTCTCTATGATCAACTTAGTTCTTGGTTAAATTTTAACTGGATGTATCATTCACCTTTTTATCTTAGAATTGATATCTAGTAAAGCGCGTGGAAATACGAGCTCTCATTAGGGTAGGAAATGATTAAATTTCAAGCATGTACTTCAGTAGGGGTGGTAGTCTTCTATTGATTCCCTTAAACGGTTGGTGGTGGTGATATAATCTGTTTGTGTTCACCACCATTACGCAACCTTTCATCCATTGTCTGAGGTGGGTAACTGTCCCACCCTTCATATATTGGACTCCATTGGACACGGCTTCTCATTGGAATTCCAGGAAATCCATCTTGAAGCTAGTCACTAGTGATCATGGGTTGGATGCCGGCTCAATGGTCTAGGGGCTAGGCATCCACGCGCAAGGCTGAAAGTCCTGGGATGGAGTCTCGCGTGCGGGATGGCGGATGTGCAATGTTCAGGTGTCTCATACTAGGACTAAATGGCCGTACAGTGCTTCAAGGTTTTCAACAGTGGTCTAACTTAGATTGACTCGTGAATTCGACTGTTGAAACGCATTTCGCTAGAAGTTGCATGAATTAAACAAAATTTTATGATTATCGGTAAATCATAAATGATTACACTTTTCGTTAAATACTTCAGAAATTATATTACGTTTGTAAAAGAAATTAATCCTAAACGAAATCAATAACGTGAATAATTTGGAAGGATAGAATTATCAAGAAATACTGCAACATTATTAGCTAACCAATTAAGTAACCAATGCAAAAATGGATAGTGACTAGCAGTGGGATCCAGAACCAGGCGTGTTTCGTCCTATTTTGAACTCATCAGCGGGATGTACCTGAATCCCGCAGTTGATGTTCACTGTGGGACTCGAACCCAGTACAATTCGCTTCAAACTCCATCGCGTTATTCACTTAGCTACTGAGTTCTGATAACTGCTTGCTTGTGCAATGGGGTGAAGTTTTAATTCACTTGGTATTGCTTTACTTGAATCTTGCAATCCTGTAGTGAACAAGAACACCAGTGACGGCAATCGAATGTATTTAACAATAATTTCCAGACCTTGTTAATAAAATCTAACAACCATATAGTAAATGCTCAATTTGCAAAATGACCATCAATTGTCTCAAAATGACTCAGACTTCATTGTTCTTGCATTTTCATACAAATTGCATTCTGTTTACATTCTTTACTGTTCGATCCCCTTTTCTCTGCTGCCAGACATTCTGTTCACGACTAACGTCACATACTACTCATGTCGATATAAGTAGCACACACCATAATGCTTGTGACTTATTGAAATATCGAGGCAATGCATACAGTATGCATATATACCACTAAGAGACTGGTCAATTCCAGTCCTAAAGATATCAATGGGAAGATACAAGTAAAACAACACCAATTGAATTGAATAGTTTAGTTGTAATTTTACACTGGTATGGCCGAGAGTGGGGGGAATCCGCTCCCCCTCTCGAAATGCTCTCACATGGCCACGCGTATACAGCCTCTGCCAGGGAAGTCCTACTCACTGCCTTCTCATGGCGGATGTATTGTTTACGAAAATGAGAGGACGAAAAGCGAATGTCCGGCGCTTTAACCGGATCCCAAACCAATGGTGCACGTGGGCTCCAGTATCATGCGGGAACAAATGGCGTATGAACCAATCGTTGGTCACCGGCTTCCATGGGACTGCATCTCCACACGATGCTCCACTGCCTTGTGGATCAGATCTTCAGGTCAAAGGCTCGGGGTGTGGTCCCCTAAGAAAACTACCTGCTTCGGTTTGGGCACCCGGGCAGTATCACAGCCCTCACACATATCAAATGAGATATGTGTGGCGCATATGTATTTGGTGCCTTCTTGTACCGATATCTATGTGTTAAAATAAAATAATAATAAGATAATAATAATTCATGTCGTTATTCAGATAGATAATAATTTTAATGAAAGAAACCTATGTACATAAGAATCATGTTTTTTATTGGCAATAAAATTGATTCATTTCCATTTTTTGTATTCTAAAAGTTATCTTAATCAATTAACTTGTACTTTGATGTTATTACTAAGCGAAAATTGTTTGGCTAGTGTATGTTTTTATTTAGAATATGAGTAACTATAGGCGTAATAATAATGATTAATCAAATTCTCAACATTGTTAACAGCTTGTATATATGTGCCATACAAATCACTTAATATTGCTCAGGTACCCAGTCCGAAGAAGATGGTTTTCTTAGGAGACCACATCTGGAACTTTCGATCTAAAGGTTTGATCCACAATATAGTAGAGAAACGTCAGGAAATGTAGTCCGATGGTAACCGGTGACCAACGATAGGTTCATATGTTGTTTGTTCTTTCAGGATCCTGGAGGTCATGTAAATCATTGGTTTAGAATCTTCCGTGTCCACTAATCTGGTTAAAGCACTGGGCATTCGCTTTTCATACTTTCACAATTTTGTAAATAACAGTAATGTCGCGAGAAATCATTAAGTAGGGCTTCCATGTGTGAGCACTTCGAGTGGGAAAAGTGGACTATCTCCACCTTTGGTCATACCGGAGCATTTGGGGACACCTTAAATTTATCATATGAATTGTTTTTAGTCAATTTTCAGAATAGCGGAAAGATTGATAAGAGCATTAAGATAAGAAATTTCAATAATAATAAGAACAATGTAATAGATAGTGCAAGAATAACTTCAGAAATTAAATAGTTCAAAAGTGTAAATTATCAACATTGAGATAAATTCACTTGGTTTTGTTTCATTGTATCTTCTCATTGTTATTTAGGACTGCAATTGATCAGTCTCATATTGGCATATATGCATCTTATGCGGACTGCTTCAATATTGCCTGAAGGCACAAACTTTATGAACAAAGATGGATAGTGGCTAGCAGTGATATAGAAGACACATGTTTCGTTTTATTTGGGACTCATCAGCTTGATGTACCTGCATTTCAGAGTTGGTGTTCATCCTAGGACTCAGTAGCTATGTGGATAATGCGATGGTGTTTGAAGCGAACGGTACTGGGTTCGAGTCCTGGCTGAAGCAAATATCAACTCAGATGCGAGTGAATCCAACTGAAGAGTCTCAAGTAAAACGAAACGCGCGTCCTGGATTCTACTACTAGCCACTATCCATCTTTGCTTATTCAGATAAATTGTAAGGGAGGGGACAGTTCTAGTGTACAAAGAGTAATACAAACTATTTCAGCTAAGTTTATTGTTCATTGTTTATTTATGTATTCAATTCTTCTTACTTTTTTTAGTATTTTTTTATTGGCTTATAAACTGTTACAACGCTTTACTGTTACTTGTTATTTTTACTCCTCATGAAGGAGAAAAGACCGCCTATCAGCATTCTCCATACAACTTTAATCTTAATAATCTTTCTTAGTTGATTCAGTTGCTATTCATCCATTTCATGTCTGCTTCCAATTCCCGACACAGTGTGTTATTTGATCTTCGTCATTTCCATTTTCTTCCAAGATTCCAAGTTAGCGCTTGCCACGTGATACAGTTTGATGATTTCCGTAATGTATGTCGTATCCACTTCGAACATCTTTTTCTAATTTCCTCTTCATCTAGAACCTGGTTTGTTCTCTCCTACAATAGGTTGTTGCTGTTGGTATCCAGTCAACGGATATTAAATATCTTGCGTCAAAATACTTGTACCTTTTTGATGTTATCAAATAATTATTCACTTTTTTTTTCTTTCTTTTATAGGTGTTGATAAACTATTGGATTGTGTTGAACAACGATCTACAGATTATGATTGTCCAATTTATTTTGTAAGAGATGATTATTTAGCTCGTAAGGTCAGTGTCGTTACTTCACTATATGTTTTTATTATTATGAATACTTATTGTTTAGACTATCGTTCTATGTGGTTTGTCGTGTTAAAAATAATATATTTATATTATTGAATAATTCAAATCATTTAATAAGCTATCGATACTATTACTCCTACTTCTATGGCAGGTTGACTAATTTCTTCTATTCTGAATCATCTTTGATGAGTTGGTGTATTTATAGGATCCTGTTTAGCGCCTTGTGACAGACTAGATGATTCTTGTTTTCCTAATAACTTCTGTATCATGAACCGATAACGTGTTAACTTCTCCCATACATTTCAAGCGTTGGTGCAGTACAGGAGCACTTAATGAACAAGCCATGAAAACGAGCACTGTAAAACACTGAGCCCTATAAAACTGTCGAATTTGTCATTACGGAATACATTATCTCAGACCTCTTGATTATTCCTACAGTGTTTACACCTGATGTAAGTAATCTCAATTAGACAACTATAATCGAACCCAATTAGTTACTTAACTTTCTTAACTGTGTGTAGCCAATATTTACAATTACCTGTCACACCGTCCCCAAAGATGATCCAAACTTGTGTAAGCCTCCTCGGCTTCCATTGTCCGAATTGATCTTATCTAATACTGTACTACCAGCTTGAAAACACATCATTTTCAGTATTTGCAACAAACTTTTGTAAAAAGTGAATGCAGATAATAGATCATGCCAGTTTTAGTAACGTACTTTGCGTTTTTAAGGTGTAAATTATATTTTATACCTAAGAACATTGATCCTCAACTGACTAATTGTAATCAAGGTAGGGAATATGTTATTTTCCTTGATTTGTGTGTGGCCTGGGATACTATCTGGGTACCCAAACCGAAGCAGGTGGTTTTCTTAGGTGGCTTCACCTCGAGCCTTTGACCTAAACGTCTGATCCACAAGGCAGTGGAGCAACGTCAGGAGATTAAATCGCATGGTTGCCGGTGACCAACAATAGGTTCATACTCCATTTGTTCCTTCATGATCCTGGAACACATGTACACCATCGTTTTGGAATGAGGGTTGAAGAATTCTGCTAGGCGGACCGGACATTCGCTCTTCGTTTTCTCAATCTCATAAACAATACCACCGCCACGAGAAGGAATTGAGTAGGACTTTCCTGGTAGTGGTTGTGTGCACGTGGCCATGTAAGAGCATTTCGAGAGGGTGAGTTGAATTTCCTCACTCTCGGCCATACCAGGGCGTTTGGGAGCTCACTATTATATACACCTTACTGAAAAGATACTTCACATAAGGCTAATATTATTCGAATTTAGTTCAGTTTACAAATTAAGTCTATTCGAAATAGTTTAATTAAATGCCATTTAAATTAAAGTAAATAGAAAACTGAATGATTTTCCCTTGTTTACTCAATATGTTTCACGCTACAATTAGTTTATCTAAATTTAATTAACAATTTATTGTTCATATATATCAGTTCTTTACAAAAGAAAACAACAAAAACACGGGCTACCTTCGAATTTCAACAATCCATTTTTGATCCTTGCTAATTATTAACTTCTAATTAGGTTATTTAAAGGTTCAATGAGCAACAAAAATGTCCGGCGCTTTGACCGGGTTGATGGAGATGGAGGGTCCACGTAGGCGAGTAAGAGAACCCTGATTCCAAGCCAATGATGCACGTGGGCTTCAGGATCCTGAGAGAGCAAATGGCGTACGAACCTATTGTTGGTGACCGGCTACCATGGGTTTACATCTAACGTTGCTCTCCTTGACCTCCAGGTTAAAGTCCCCTTAGAAAACTACTTGTTTCGGTTCGAGCACCCGAGCAGTATCCGAGCCCTCACACAAATTGAATGATTTATGTGGCCCATATCTATTTGGTGCCTCCTTGTACCAATGTTTATGTATTTGAATAATAATAATGATTTTTGATAAATTCACTTCAGGTCGTCGAACCTGAAATCATACATTAAATACATTATTTGCACATCCTCCGTCAGTTGTAGCGTACATGCTTCATGATTCTTCCAATCTTGCTGTTATTGCAATTGCTTTCGTTTCCCGTTCCTGTTCTCGTTGATTTGACTTTCGACTAACAAGTATTCCACTTTCAATTGCTACTACATACTACTTATGTCTGTCCGTATAAGTAGCATGCATGCTCTAACCTTGACGTGGTGGTCGGGCTTGCCTATCATGGTGAACCAATTGAGCTATACTGGCTGGAACAATCGTTCCCAAGTCGACTGAAGAGTGGTAACAATAAAAGCAAGAAACCCAAGATCCGGGGGCGAAGTCGTACTGCTGAATGTGCAGAGGTGTGACAGCAGCAGGGTGTTTCCTTCAGACAACCAGCATAACAGCGATGCTGCCTTCTCACAAGGAGGGGTGGGGTTGGATAAGGTCGACCTTAAATGTGCACACCCCGCCTTATCTCACGAATATCCGTCTCCGGTGACAAGGTCTCAACAAGTACGGAGCTAACACGAAGATTACTCACAAAAATGTCGTGTGCGACTGACCTCAAGCATTTGTCTTTTGAGCACTGCGGTCACGCTCTCAGATGTTAAAGATCACCGCTAACTCGATTTCATTTTCAGGTGCCTTTGGAAGAACTTCATGTTTTAAAACTTTAGTATTGTCTGAATGAATTATTTGTAAGCAACTTTTTATGGTAAGGATGTTTACATTCGGTTGGTTTTATTTTTCATTCTGCCTGGTTTTTTTTCATTTTAATAAAAAAAAACCATTTTAGTACGCCGGTTTCCCTATACCAGCTGAATTGGAAAAATTGTTACCAGAAATGAATAAATTATGCTCAGAAGAATTATTGCATGAATTTCTGGGCAAACGAAAGTAAGTCAATTCGTTTGTATTATTCAATTTTTGATTGAGATCATGAACCGATTGATGTTAGACCACTATTAAAAACCTGAAAGCACTGGATGACCGTTTCGTTCTATTGTAGGACTCAGCAGTGTGTATCCACCATCCTGCTCGCGAGATCAGTGGTCCAGAGGTTAAGCGCTTACGCTGGAGACTCAAGACCCTGCGTTCGAACCTCGTTGTGCTAATGAGTGAGGTTAAATGGTGGTTGAAGGTAGTCAGCAGGAAACCGTGGACTCGGGTTGACCACATTGCAACTTGGTCGATAGCATTCGATTTGCACTAAGAGGGACTTGACATACATGACATTGATCACCACCCAGTTATCAATCAATTGTGATTAATGAGTGCAGTGTAGCAACTTGATACGATGCATACATGTGCCTAATCCCACGCTGTTGCTGACTAATTGACATTATATCAAATTAATCTAGAATGTACATACAATGCAAAAGAATAAGATTTTGTACATGATACACTGTGTTAATGAAGAATACAAATGTTTGAATTGAATAGATAACAATAATGAAGGTTTACACTTACGAGCACCGACTGTAGGTGTTTTTCATGTCTACCATTGATCATCCTATCCAAGCATATGTAACTAAAAATGGAACTTAAAATATCCTAGTTTTCATCCCCAATAGGCCGTGAATGCATACTGCCGAATTTCACACTAGCATGAAATAAATGTCCGGTGCTTCCTGGTTTTCATTGCTTGTCTAACTAAGGTCAGTTCATGATATAAACTACAAAAATCTAGTCTGTTCCTGAAAGGAAAAATTTATTTCACAAACAGTAATACAGTGCCCCACCACCACCATATTGCGTAATAATAACTTAAGAAGACTGGATTGTTAGATTACTGATTCTAACACACGTTCGTAACTGAGATATATTTTTCTTCAAGATTTAGATATTTCTGCTTAGTACTTTTAACTTTCATCAAAATTATAAATTTATTGAAATATATCTTTTAATATCAGACGGGATTTTGTGGACATTGTAGTAATTTTAATAGTTGAGGTCATAAGTCCTGAGTTCGAATCTCGCGATTCGGGATCGTGAACGTTCACTGCTGAGATGTCCCACAATAGGACAAAACGGCCGTCCAGTACTTTCAGGTTTTACATAATGGTCTAGCTTCAATTGACTCATGATCTCAACTATTAAAATTATATCTTTTATCATTTTCAATAATATGCTTTATAATCCAACATGTTTTCTTTGTGTGTCTTCATGAGGAATTTCTTTTGAAAGCGAAAATAATTGAAATATAGTAGTTAGGATTCATTTTATCAAAAAATAACAGTCCTATATACACATATATACGCACACACACACACAATATCATTCTGCTTTCATTTCTCACCTATGAATAATAATTTGTTTGCTTGAGATCATGAATCGATTGATGTTAGACCACCAGTGAAAACCTGGAAGCACTAGGTGGCCGTTTCGTCCCATTTTGGGGCTCCTCAACAGTGCGGTCTCGCGCACGAAAGCTGAAACTCTAGATCACTGAGCCGGCATCCAACACTGTTAATGTCTAACCTCAACCAATCCACGAAATTGCGCAACCACATTCCATTGTACTGAGGTAGATACCTTTCCCTACCCGACACGGATTAGCTCCACTAGTCATGGCTTCTCACTAGAACTCCTAGAATTCCCTCAGGAAGCTAGTCACTAGTGAGCACATGGTAATTATCAGTACGGGGTCGTGGATAATTGATAGATTTGACAAAATGTAATCGGAATCTGTTTTATGAAAATGCAAATGATGAATTATGGGATTGTTAGGAGGATTAATGAAAGTATAATTTGTTAAAACTTAACATGAATAAGAACTTGAATATCAATTTTAAGACAATCAAAATCTTTTTGATTAAGATTATGAACTGATTGATGCTAGAGCATCATTTAAAACCTAGAATCACTGAACAGCTGTTTCATCCGATTGTGAGACTCAACAGTGCGTATCCACGATCCCGCTTGTGTGATTCGAGCTCAGGACTTTTGTTCTTGCGCACGAAAGCTGAACTTCTAGATCAGTTAGCTGGTATCCAACGGTGTTAATGTCTGACTTCAACCAATCCACGATATTGTAAGATCGTGCACCATGGTCTCCGTGAATTCTCTCTCGAAGCTAGTCACTAGTCAGCAAATGATCGTGATACACACTTCTAAGGAGTTCCATACTAGGATGGAACGGTTATCCAGTGCTCCCACTTTTTCCATAGTGGTCTGAAATTCCATTTTTTTTCACTTCGTATCTCATATACTACAATTTTTAGCAAAATAATAGAAGTATATTTTATTTCCTTATTTGAATCACTATTGTGGTGGTCAATATTTATTAATCCCAATGAATGACAGCATTGTATAACACGACAACCTACCAATGATGAAACTATTCTATAAGATCTGACGTAAGCTATCAAAATGATAAGTGTTAACACAAAAGTACTTCTATTTGTTTAATGCTATTCACACTTATTTGTTATATTCCCTTGTATAGAAAGTAGAAACTAGTGAAAAATTTACAACGAAGTAACTTGACATCTATGCCAATTAGAGAAAGAAGGTATTATCGACATGAAAGATACATAATTACAAATAATGATATTCATCGCAATAAGAAAACTGAACATAAAAATCTTGGGTTAAGAATATATAAATAATATCTTAGAATAATAATGATTGATTACAACTTTTGCGACTACCGAGTAAGTAATGCAGTTGTTAGGAAACATGTCATAGCTAAGGATGTCAAATCAATTGATGAAGCTGTGAAACTTCATCAGTTAAGATGGGTTGGGACACGTATGCCCAACCACCGACGTGCGATGTTTTATGATGTAGGAGTAGGTTGAAAGAAAGCTAGAGACAGCCAGACCAAATCATGTCACAAATCCATTAAGTCACTAACAAATGGACTGAGTCATGTTGGTAGGTGTAGACTATCTGGTTGGGATCCGTGAGATGATAGCAACCTATGGTTAGAGACCTTAAATGACATGTCTCAAAATCGTTTGCAATGGCTCAGACATATCCATTCTTTGTGTTCTCCCGAATTCTAATCTTCTGAATTCTTCATGTCCCTTTCTTTTTTTCTCTTTCCAAATTTATTTCGTTGGACTATACTGCTTGAATAACATCTTCAAATTCTAATGTTTCCGATTACTGTTTATATTCTTACTATTTCTGCCACTGCGGGATTTGAATCGACCATTGTATCTCTATGCTAATGTGGTATAGCAATTCGAACGGATGAACGTAGAATTTAAATTAACATCTGATAAACAAATTAATAAGGTTATAAACCTAGGTCATCATATGAAGTGAGTGTAATACGTTACACTTACCCTAACTTAAAATAATCGTTATCATAAGTGTAGATTAAGAAATAGCTAAGATTGTACAAATATAGGCTTAAGATTACTGTACAACCTTATCGATTTTTAGACTAAGGCTTGTACATAGTAAAGTTGCATATATCCTGGTAACTTCTTGTATCCAAAAGTGGTGGTGATAAGACAGACATGTTTATTCTCGCGTTTTTTTACTGTTACTACTACTATCGTAGTGAACAAGAACACAAGTGGGGGCAATCGGATGTGTTTGAATATAGAATTATTGATAAGTCTTGCGATTTGAACGCTATACTCGATTCCTAAGCTATTCTGAAACCTCCCAAGCTAGAACTATACAGCGACCTAAACACGAGAGAGAAGGCGCAAAGTATGCGCAAAGTAATTTACTCCAAGGTTCATTCTAATACTGAAAACAGAGGGTTTTTATGATATTTTAAATGTCCTTGGGTTGCTCGAAGATTCTGGAATGCTATTAAACATAGTAGCGGTATAACAATCAACCAATCACAACCTCTACATGTGATGTTTCACATCTTTGATGTTTCTGGTTAAACTCCCAGTGAACGCTGATTAGATGAAATACTTATTAAGGTTTCCTGATCCTTGCTTGTCTTTTGTGAGAACTTTTCTATTTCATCCCAACAATTATTAAAATCTGAGAGCTATATAGTAAATACTTCATTGTCTCAAACTTGACTGTTCCTTTTGCAAATATCAGTACATTGTTTAAGATTTGATTGTTCCTTTATTTTCATATCAATTGCTTTCCTTTTTGATCTTCTATTAAAATATATTCTCTTCTTGAATATCGTTATATACTACTTATATCGTTATAAGTAACTCATACCCCACCACCTCTGCTACTACTTTTGACTCTCTTTTGTCTTTCATTCTGCAAATAATTATCTTATTCTTTGCACTAATATAAAATATGTATTTGCATAATAATTTATTATCTATTATGTACATATCCATATATTACTCCATACTTCCAAGGGCTATATATATATATAACTGTTCCCATCACATTGTGATGAAATGTAATTCGAAATAGTTCTGATTATATATAATTTACGTAACTGAATAACACGTATACTATGCATCATATGAATTAATATATTCTTTCTATATTTTCACATGTTTAACGAAAGAAAAAAAAATAGGAAAGCAAACATAGAAAACATGAAATGATGTATAAAACACGGGGGGGTGGGATGCACTGGGTTACAATTAGTGAAATTATACCTTCTTATTTACTATAGACTTATACTTTGATACTTTACTTTGTCTCTATGTACTACGTTATATACACCTATGAAGTGTGCTTCTTTCCTTCGTTCCTTCCTTCCTTACTTCTCTTTCTTTTTTCTTTTCTGTAGGAATAGATTATATGTTGTTTTTAAGGCCATGCATATTCTATAACCTATTCCATATATGTTTAATATAAGTAGATATTTAAATAAAGAATTACTTACACTTGAAACATATATACTTAACTGATTGAATTACATATAGAATAGATGACTTTTTAAAACTATTTCTACATACTACTAATAAGCAATCATGTTTAATTCATAGATATATAACAGAGAAATATATGATACAAATCAAGTGATGATAATTTGTATTTTAAGTGTTATTATTCCTGAGAAAAATAACATATTACAATAATGTGATTTAGTCAATATATATATATATATAGTAGGTATGTAGTTACACTACTGCTGGAGTCCCCCCCCCACGGGGCTATTGCTGCTTTCAAGCCTGGATAAAGGAGGAAGGTTAGGTATGAGGTTAACGACCTGTTATAACTTGTGATCTGTGTGCACTGTAAATGGGTAAGTAACGATACCGCCAATTAGAGAAACAGTGAATCATCGATCGGACCAATGACGCATAAAACCCGTACGAGCAGTCTAGAGTACTTATCCGTTCTACTTCTTGCCTAGCCGAACCAGTTAAATCCAGAACATCAATCTCAGCCTATGAAATATGAATCATGTATTTCAAACATACTCGGTTTATATACCAATCAAACATACCATAATGTACCATAAAATAGGAAACAACATTTATAAAAGATTTAGCCAAATGTTGTTGTGAATGTAGGAGGTAGTGATTAATAGACAGGGAATAATTCAAGAATGGTAAATCGTATAATAACAGTTCGTAATCTCAATTAAAATAAAGTTTATTGTAAGAGACACATGATTATGAATAGTTTAATTAATTAACAATGATACAATAAGAATATACGTTTAGTATAGATCTATAAATGGATCTCAAAAACTACCACTCATTCTCATCGGGACATAACACGACACCATCCCGTAGAAAAATAACTCGGTAAAACAACGCTAACTAGAAAAAAAATGATTCAAACCATTTAAACTTTGTTCTGGAAGTTAGAAGGTTTTCATTTGAAAGAGTTATAACATGTAGTTACCCTAAATATCTTTTCTATCAATAGGTAACCTTTTTTTTTCTGTAGAATCGACTTAAACTATTTTGAAAGTAAATGTTATTTTGTGTGGTGTCTAAGTCTAATACTGAAATATAAGCTTCTTATACAACTTGAGTAAGAATATCGACAATCTCCAAATGCCCTGATACGGCCGTGAGTCAGCTCTCCCTCTCGAAATGCTCTCAAGTGGCCACGTGCATACAACCACTGTTAAGAAACTCCAACTCACTTCTCTCGTATTGTTTACAAAATTGGGAGGATAAAGAGCGAATGTCCGATGATTTAAACCGGTTGGTGAATACAAAGAATCCACCTAGAGGAGTTGGAGAACCCTGATTCCAAACCAATAGTGTACATGAGCTGCAGTATCCTGAGGGAATAAATGGCGTATAAACCTGTTGTTGGTAACCGGCTACCATGGGACTGCATCTTCTGACGTTGCCCCACTGCCCTAAAGATTAGACCTTTAGATCGAAGACTCGCGGTGTAACCCTCTAAGAAAACCACCTACTTTGGTTTGAGCAGTTGGGCAGTATCCTGGCTCTCACACAAATCGAATGATTTATGTGGCGCATATCTCTTTCGTGTCTCCTTGTACTAATGTTTATGTGTTTAATTAAATAAAAATAAGAACATCGACAGTCAGAAATAAGCTTTATGGACTAAAACCGAATGAAGAATATATGTAAACTCATTCATAAATATACATCTTCCCCCACCCTTCCCTTCCCTGAAAAATGTACCCACATCTCTAACCAAAAATAAATCGGATTTTTTCCATTAATGTGGAATTATCTTTTAACCTTTGTTTAATTGGCTCAATGTGTCAGTAAAACGCTCTGAGAGTATATTATGATCAATGACAGACTTCTGAGCCAATATAGATTCTAAAGACTGAAATAATTACACAACAACTGTCTATGGTGATATTGGTGAAGTAGTAGTATCTCAACATAGCTAAAGAGATTCATGTAAGTTTGGTCTTTGTTACATATCAATCCATATTCCAGTAGAACGAATAAATGAAATCAGAAAAGTGTATAAACTTATAGAAGCAGAACATAGGTAAATATGAGTGTATAGATAACGTTCACTCGTCAAACTTTCTGAATTATGTCGAAAGTGAAAGAGTGAATATGTTGAAACAACTATAATTGTGTATATTTTCTACTATTGACTCGACGCCGTGTCACCCAGCTTCATAGACTGAGCTATCTGAGCCGCAAATGACCTCATGTAGGACTAAGATGTAGGAAACCTAGGTCCAGGGTTTCCTGTTGACTACTATCTCAACATAGTGCACACAATGTCAAGCCACCTAGACAACTGGTCACATTGCAATTTGTTCGATAGGATTTGATCTGCACTAAAAAGGATATTGACATACATGACATTGATCACCACCCAGTGATCAATCAATTGTAAGTTTGTACACGAAAGTCATAGGTTTTAATCCTTTTTTAAGTGTTCCAATTTCATCAACAACGTTATATTACTAGTCCTTATAGATACAAAAATTTTTCACTAAAATTCAAGTTCACTGACTTTAACTGGATCACAAAATTACACATATTACTGTCATTTTAACAGAAACTGTTTTCACATCTTTTAACATGTGCTGGTTCATATACTGTTTTGTTTGTGGATCCATTATATCATATAGTGTAAGCTGTTCAGATAGGATCCTTGTAAATTCTAACATATACAAATCGTTTGATTGTTATAAACCCTGCTCAAAGCTATGGGTCTCTTGCTATTTTTAAACTGTGCATCTAAATTGCAATGATTTTTTATCCTATACATTTCTATCAGAAAGGGGTTTTGTGGATATTATAGTAATTTAATAGTGACTAGTGCAGTTCAACAAGGTCTGTTGTGAAATACTATCTCACTGAAGACAATGGTGGATGTGTTGCTCAATTTCGTGGATTGATTGAAGTAAGACATCAACACCGTTAGATGCCTAGATGTTAAGCGTTCTCATGTGAGACCGATAGGTCCTGAGTTCGAATCCCGCCGGACGGCATCGTAGGTGTGTACTACTGAAGAGTTCCATGCTAGGACGAAACGGCCGTTAAGTGCTTCTACATTTTTCATGATAGTCTGCTCTCAATTGACTCATGAATTCAACTCTTAAACTTTAGATTTCTATCAAATAAATTATTCTGTATGCTAACAGTTTAATATAGAACTTACAATAGACTACGAAGTTAGATATTGCGAAATCGAAGCAGTAAAGTTACAATGTTTGATCTGTTTTCTTCTTCATCATCATCACCCATTCTTTGAAGAAACTACAGATGATTTGTGCTCGAATTCATGCATGAAATATTTTTGAATGTTCAATTGAATGAATGATTATTATTTTTAAAAAGAAGGCATCTTTTATAATTTTGTGCATATTATGTTGATAATACTCTTCTGTAATCAAGTGTATAATATAGAATACTTTGATAACATTCAAGCAGTTTCAACCTGTTTTTTCAAAATAGTATTTATATTTTATCAGTAATAGGATTGTGGAGATTGTTGGATTTCAATTGATATCATGAATGGATGAATGTTAGACCACTATTGAAAACTTAGATTCACTGAATAGTTGTTTCATCCTTGTATGGGACTTCTCAACAGTGCGCATCTAAGATCCAGCACATGGAATACTGGCTCAGTGGTCTAAAGTTTAAATATTCAGCCGTGAGGCTGAATGTCCCGGATTCGAATCCCATATTCGAGATTATGAATGCGCATTGTTGAAGAGTCTCATATTAGAATGAAACAGCTTTTCAATGCTTCCAGGTTCTCAATACTGATCTAACATTTATCCGTTCATGATATGAATTGATAATCTGTATTTGTGAACGAAACTAATTATAATCATTAATATCTGAAGGGGTTTCGTGGAGATTGTAGTAATTTCAACAGTTGGGATCATGATTCAATTGAAGTTAGACCACCATGGAAAACTTGGAAGCACTGGATGGCCGTTTCTTCCTAGTATGAGACTCCTCAGCACTGCGTATCCATAACCCCGCCTGGCGGGATTTGAACCCAGGACCTATCAGTCTCGCGCCAGGCGCTTAACCAACTAGACCAATGAGATGGCCGGCATCCAACGGTGTTAATGTCTAACTTCAACTAATCCACGAAATTGAGCGATACATTCACCAGGTTTTCCATGGTGATCTAGATTCAATTGATTTATGATCTCAACTATTGAAATTATAATCTTTAAACAAATTGAATAATTCAATCATTCATTTTGTAATTTATGTATTTTTTTTTTCTTTATTTCACAGAGATTGGAAGAAAAATGTTCATATTGTATTAAGTGATCTATTTTCACTTATATTAGAGAATATGATAAACTATCAAAAGTAAGTGTGAGTTAAAAAGGAAACCAAACAAAGAACTATTAGAAGGTAGTTTTGTGAAGATTTTAGTGATTTTATCATTCCATTCATAAGTCAATTGAAGTTAGTTCACTATAGAAAATCTGGAAATACATGAGACAGATAGGTCCTGAGTTCGAATCTCATGAGGCCGGATTATAGTTGCACAGTATTGAAGAGTTTCATATTAAAACGAAACGATCGTCCAGTGATTCCAGATATTCTATGATGATCTAGCTTCAATTGACTTATGAATTACTATTGCTAGGTATTCTTGAACATCGATTCACTCGACAAGCCCCTAAATCAGAACACAGTTGAATAATAAAGAAGTTATATTCTAAATAACAAAGGTAGACGAAAGTAAGAAACACAATAAGAGAAACGCTAGTAATATTTATAGTTTTTACACGAGAAGATTCTAGAAACTTCTCCAATTATCGACTAGCGCTGATTGAATAAGAAATGGTCAATCAGTTTGTACCCATGCGATTATGAATGGAACATGGTTTAATCCAATCTATGTTCCACTAACCGATTGGATACTATCCTTATTCAGTCTTAAGTAATCAGTATTATACTGTTTACCGTTTCTACCTAGAAACAACGTTATTTTCCAAGAAGTCTTCATGGAATTGTAATTTACAATTGAATTATTTCACTTCAAAATCCATGTTGTTATTAATAATCGTTTAAGTTCACCAAAGTTCAGTATGCATTAAGAGTAGACCATAAACGTTTCATCATTACTTACGCTTATTACCTCTCATGGATAAGCATAGACCACTCACCAGAATTTTCCAATCAACCTTGTCCTGGACAATCCTTTCCAGTTGCTATTCATCCTTTTCATGTCTGCTACCAATCCTCGACGTAATGTGCTCCTTGACCTTCCTGTTTTCCGTTTCCCTTCAAGATTTCAAGTAAGCGCTTGCCTCATAATACAGTTTGATGACTTCTTCAATGTATGTCCTATCCACTTTGAACGTCTTTTCCTAATTTCCTCTTCAGTCAGAAGTTGGTTTGTTCTATCCCATGGTAGGCTGTACGTTTCATCATACTTGTAAGAAATAGAATCATTATGAATATTTTGAATTCACAAAATAAATTGAGAAGATAATCTCACTAATAGAATACACAAGTCACTTGATTTGTATGTGGGCTGTGATACTGCTCGGGTGCCCAAACCGAAGCAAGTGGTTTTCTTAGGAGGCCGCACCCTAAAGGTTGGATCCACAAAGCAGTGGATTAACGTCAGGAGATGTAATCACATGGTAGCCGGTAACCAACGATTGTTTCATACTCCATTTGTTCCCTCAGGATTCTGGAGCCATCCCATGTGCACTATTGGTTTGTAATGAGGGTTTTCCAACTCCTCTAGGTGGACTCTCCGTATCCACCAACCCCGGTTAAAGCTCTAGACATTTGTTCTTCGTCTTTTCAATTCCCTAAGCAACACCCCCGCCACGAGAAGGAAGTGAGCAGGACTGTCCTGACAGTGATTGTATGCACGTGGCCATTTGAAAGCATTTCGAGTGAGAGAGCTAACTATTTCCACCGTTGACCATACTAAGGCATTTCCGGGGCTTTTTTTTTCAACCAGATCAAAGATTTACGTTTATTTGGATAAATTAAAACTAATACAAATTCGATTTGATTTTGTGTATTTTCTTCAAATGCTTTATCCCATAATCTAGATTAAAATATATTATATATTCTTCTCCTTCTGTCCCGCTGGTTTTCAATGTAACTATCGATTATTAATGTTGATGCTTAATAAAGATCATATGGAACAAATTAAGACCTTTACAAGGTGTTATGATTTATGATTAGCATGACTTAGTCATTCGACATTACAACTGTGTAATGTATCCTTTAAAAATAGAGGATATTAGTAGGTTACTAATTGTTGTTGTTAAATTCCAGTGTTTTCTCATACACATACATATTTACTCTGTCACGAATGTGCACTTTTTCCCATTATCATAGCTACTACATTATTTCGATATTCTTTGGAATCAATCTTAATATCATATGGTCATCCTAATGTGATATAGAGAGAGTTGAGTCAGCTCTTATCTATGTTGACAGTGACAGATTATTTGAGATGATTTAAAGGCATTAGTTGCTTTTTTGGGACCATCAAGTGATTAAGGTATAGTTTATACATAGAGTAGTAGACAAAGCTGTAGATTCGGTTGATAACGTGATGAATTTTCGTCAAATAAGATGGTTGGAACATATATTAAGTACCATTAACCACCGCACACCGCTACGCATGGTATCCACTTATGTAGTAGAACCACCATACAAAAACATGCCATCAGTTCATGAAATCATTGACTGTTAGATTAAACAATTTTACTCGATAAAAACTCAGTTAGTCTGCTATAACGTAGGACCAGGCACATATATACATCGGTCCAAGTTGCTAAACCTCACTCATTAGCACAACAAGATGAACACGAAATTCATAGAATTAGTTAATTCAATGATGGTAATATAAGAAAGAAAGATTGTCTATAAGGATATAGTACAAGAATAAAGAATTAGTTGTTAGAAAGAAAGATATGAAGCGATTTTAATTTCATAGTTTAAGGGAAGGCAGGGAGTGTATACACCTACTTTGCGTTTAACCTCACTATTACTTACCCAGTGATCCCAGTAGATACCAGCAATATTTCTAAGGCATCTGTGGTCAAATACTAGTAACTTACGAATATTTTCTACTCTTAAAGGCCAAGTTTCGCAGCCGTATAGTAAAACGGAACGAACTGCCGCGCAGTATACTCGTCCCTTAATTGATAGACGAATATCTCGCCTTCGCCATAGGTGACGTAAGTTGGCAAAGGCCAAGCGAGCTTTTCGAATCCGTGCTGAGATTTCGTCAGACAGCAACCCATTAGGGCTGATCAGACTTCCTAGATAAGTGAAGTTGTCTACGCGTTCGACTACATCACTCCTTATCCTTAGTTCAGGTGTTGACGCAGACCAGTCCTGAAGCAACAACTTCCATTTTGAGACGGAGATACGCTTCTCAAACATTCTGACATTGTTGTTCAGTGCTATCAAAAAACTCTGCATTTTGTCAGAATCTTCACTAAACAGGACTATGTCATCTTCGTATTCTATGTCGATAAGTGAACCTCTTGGTAGGAGATGAATGCCCGAGAATTCAGTCGACGAGAACGTGTATGCCATCAGTATGTCCATGATGAAGTTGAACAAAAAAGGAGTAAATGGACAGTCTTCACGGATAATGACTACCTGATTCATGTCTTTGTAGTTGTTAAAATTAGTGTTTTGGTGGTATAGTTCTTTGTTTCTTGAGTTTTAAACTTATACTGCATATATATGGAATGCTCGTTAGACTTCGCAGATGACCTAGCCCTCCTATCGCATGCACGCGAACAAATACAGATAAAGACAGTCACTGTAGCAACAGTCTCTGCATCAGTAGGCCTCAATATACACAAGGGGAAAACCAAGGTCCTCAAATACAACACGGAGAACAGCAATCCGATCACTCTCGATGACGAAACTCTGGAAGATGTAGAATTCTTCAAGTACTTGACAACCTACATCGATGAACAAGTGTTACAGTTCTCTCGCTCTTACGGTTATAACCCAGCTATTCCTTTTGCTTAGTACTCACGGACACCAATTCGCTCGACAAGTCCCCAAATCAGAACACGGTTGAACAGGAAGGAGATTATATTCCAAATAACAAGGTTAGATGGAAGCACGAAGCACAAAAGGAAAACCGTTAGTATATTTATAGTTTTTACATAAGAAGAATCTAGAGTCTTCTCCATGTATCGACTAGCGCTGATTGGATAAGAATTAGCCAATCAGCGTGCGCCAAAGCAATCATGCATTGAGCATGCTTAAATCCAATCTATGTCCCACTAACAACAAAGAAGATCGGATCCAGATGTAAAGGCGAGAATTTGCAAAGCAAGGGCTGCATTCTTACAATTGAAGAACATATGGAACTCAAAACAACTGTTAACCGATATCAAAATCAAAATCTTCAATACCAACGTCAAGGCAGTTCTACCGTATGAAGCTGAAACGTGGAGAACTACTACAACCATCTTCAAGAAGGTACAAGTATTTATCAATAGCTGTCTACTCAAGATACTCAACATCCATTGGCCGGATACCATCAGTAACAGCCTAATGTAGGAGAGAACAAACCAGCTTCCAACTGAAGAGGAAATTAGGAAAAGACGATGGAAATGGATAGGACATACATTACGCAAACCATCAAACTGCATCACGAGGAAAACCGTAACTTGAAATTCTGAAGGAAATAGGGAAAAGGGGAAGGTCAAAGAACACATTACGTTGGGAAATAGAAACGGATATTGAAAAGGATGAATAACAACTGGAAAGAGCTGTAAAGGATTGTCCAGGACAGGGTTGGATAAAGAATGCTGTTGAGTGACCTATGCTCCTTCACGACGAGTAACAAGCGTAATTAATTAAGGTCGGCGGCTTATACTCCTCCACGAACGAGGAACAGTTTTAAGTAAGTAGTTAAGTTCTAAAAATCTCTAAGTGATTCCTGTTGTCATTATCACATAGAATATCTAATTGTTAATATAAAAATGTAAATAAAAATTAGTTTGTTTTATTACAAACTGACATCCATTGGAAACATCTTTACGGAGCAACAACATAGAACTTTAATTCCTAGTGTAAATTATATTCATATCATAGAATACTCTTCATGAATCACTAATGAAATATGATCTTGATCCATTCAATATTGTACAATTCAATTGATTAGATTATTTTGTTTATTCAATTGTTTCTTTCAATATTACATTCTATAGATTACCACAATTTCATTTATATGCATGTCATGATTCATCAATTATGTTATTATTATTTGGTTTAAATGTATTCGATGGTTGTTGGCCACCATTTGCTGCTGATGTTATATTTGAATTATATACAACAACATCAATATCATCACCGTCACCATCATCATCATCATCATCACCGTCATCATCTAAGTTATCCAGTATGAAATCTAACATAATACATTCAGATCATATTTCATTAATAAATGATAATCTAAATGATTTATGGTTTCGTTTAATTTATCTTGGTAAACCATTATCATTAAAAACATTATGGGATTTATCATATTCTAATCCTGATCATGATCATGATCATCAACATCATCAATTATCTGATTATACAATGATACCATTTAAAGTATTATATGAATATATAAATAAAGCTAAAAATTATAATGAATCTTAATTAGAATATAATAATAAGTATGTATAATCATTTGTGTTATTGTTTTGTTTGTTTGTTTGTTTACTTATTTGCTTCCTGTTGATGTTTTTTATTGATTTATTGATGATGATGAGGATGATGAAGAAGAAGGAGAAAAAAGGACGAAATTATGTAGAAATTAATAATTGCATGATTATTACTATTTTTTTCTCTTTTTTTTGTTCTTTCTAGTCTGTTTTATTATCCTTATGAGATTTATTTCCTTAGCAACAATATTATGATTATGATTATTATTATTATTATTATTTGTATGGATTTATATATCTGTTTGTTTATTGGATTTTGATTGTTTGAATGTCCTTGAATATTTACCATCATCATCATCACCACCACCACCACCACCACACACACACTCTCTCCATCTGTCCCTAACTAACTCCCTCCCTCCCTTTCATGATTATACGTGTTCGATTCCTATCCTAAATGAATAACACATGAATTCACTATTAATTAATTGTTTTTTTTTTTTAAGATTTACAAAATGTATTTAAGTAATGTAATAAGATTGATTTTTGTTTCTTTTGTTTCCCTTTTTTATCATCCTTCTTTCTTTCTTTCCTTCATTGATATTCATTCATTAAGTGATATGTATTGTCTAGAATGATTTAATGAAGTCATTAGATTCATATAAGATTATTGTAATTAACTTTACTACTCAATTCTAATACTAACAAGATGATTTAATTTGATTATTTAAAAGAAAGAAAAGTTTCTATAGATGATATCTATAGAAGGATCATTATCATAATCTATGAATTTAACTTCATGCTAGATTGAATATATATGATATATATGTTAGCTTAAAGATATTTACCCTAGGTTTCAATAGCCCCCAAATGCCCTGGTACAGCTGAGAGTGGGGAGAATCCGCTCTCCCTCTAGAAATGTTCTCACATAACCACGCGTATATAGCCTCTGCCAGGGAAATCCTACTCACTGCATTCTCGTGGCATGACTGTTGTTTACGAAAATGAGAGGACGAAAAGCGAATGTCCGGCGCTTTAACCGGATCTCAAATCAATGGTGCATATGGGCTGGCTCCAGTATCCTTCGGGAACAAATGGCGTATGAACCAATCGTTGGTCACCGGCTAACATGGGACTACATCTCCTTACGATCCTCCACTGCTTTGTGGTTCAGACGTTCAAGTCGAAGATTCCGGGTATGGCCCCCTAAGTAAACCATCTGTTTCGGTTTGGACAACTGGGCGGTATCACAGCTCTCACACATATCAATTGAGATTTGTGTGGCGCATATCAATTTGGTGCCTCCTTGTACCAATATCTATGTGTTAAAATAAATAAATGAATACTAGGTTCCAATAGTTATTCATTTGAATGATTAGATTTTGTATTTTCTAAAGAGAGAGAGAGAAAAAAAACAGGGGGGGTGGGAAAGATTTATTAATATAAATTACAAGTACTATATTTCTTTATAAACATTTGTTTAAAACAATTAGTCTCTTTGATAAATTTCGATAATTCAATGAGAAGACGAAGTTTATCATAATTATGTGATATATTTGTGTAATACATTCCGAATAATCTGATCACATACATCTATACTTGTTGGCTAATGTGTTCATGGGATATGTTGAAAATTTAGTTGAAGACTTAATTCAAAAGATGAGTCTGTATAAACGACATGTTGATGATATAGTAATCATAGGGGATAAAGTTGAAGACATAAACCGCTTGTTAAAAGAATTCAATAGAAGTCAAAAGCACATTTCACCTACATGTGAAGAAGAGAAAAACAACCAACTTCCTTTTCTAAACATCCTGATTAGTAGGAGAGATGATGGTTCTATCCAACGTGCTGTATACAAAAAGCCAACATGGACAGGGCAACATCTTAATTTTCATAGTCACTGCCCTATTCATTACAAACGCGGTTTAATAAAGAGTTTATTCAATAGGATCGATCGTATTTGTACTAGTGATACTATTGAAGTCGAGACGAAGCTCCTGACTGATACGTTAGTGAATAATGGTTATTCGTTGAAGTTCATAAACCGCTGAATGGGTCGCAATACGACTAGACCTATGACGCTTCTGGCACCCAAAAAGTTAGTTTACATTATGTCACCATTCAAATGCGACACAAATAGTCTCATGTTGAAACGGAGACTTAAATTAGCTATCAACCGGACATTTCATGCAGCCCAACTTGTTAGTATCGAAAAGACAAGGTGTATGTTTCACCAAAAGCCCAAACATCACAAAAGCGATTGTGTCTATCAGTTTACATGTATGTGTGGAAACACGTACATAGGGAGGAGCGATCGTGGTTTGCAATTAAGGGTGGGTGAACACACATACCAAAATGGTTGCAAAAACAAATGGATTCCAATAGTCAAATAAGATCACAGGATAGACAGACATCATCCTCCATTTGATTGAGACGGATCATAAGGTCGACATCAAATCAACATTTTTAGTGTTATATAAAAGCCTTCAAGGATGTATACTAAGGTTTATTGAAGCCTTGGCTATACGGAAATTGAAATCCCCTTCCTGTTTGTTTAAAAACAATTTGTCCTTACACTTAACCTACCGTGGTAATACTGATTTATTATCCAGAGTGGTAATCACATTTGTTTTTGTATACTTTAACCTGTCTAGTTGATCTTTTAATGTTCATATATAAATGTTTTTAACAAGTATATATGTGATCAGATTTTTATTTAATCTAGTTAACAAAGTTGTATTCTATGAGATGGGGTTGTTGACCTCATACCCTACCCTCTTGCTTTATCTCGGCATAGGAAAGGCAATAGATAGGATATATATTGAGGGTTGACATTAAATGGACGACTATTATGAAAAAAATAAAAAAATAGCCGGTCGCTTAATGATATTCTATATTGAGGAAAACATCAAAGCGTATCATGAAGCAAGTGTTAACTATAAATCCTGAAGTGAAAGGGACAAGAGAAAGATCAAAGAACATATTACGTAGATATGAAAAGGATAAATAACAACTGGAAAGGATTATCAAGAATAGAGTTACATGGAAAATGCTGGTGAGCAGTTTATGCTCCTCCATAAGAGGTAACAAGATTAAATAAGTATGTTAGGCTGACCAAATCTACAAGAGTTCTGTTATAATTTCACCTGATTTCATCAAAGGACTAGTATTTAGGAAAATATAATGACCTCTAAGATATACCTGATTGAGTTATTTAGTATTTTGAGTGGCCATAGGTTATCAGCTTTCCATATATTTGTATTTATGTTGCTAAGTATAGAAATAAATATGATTAGATATTACTAATAAATATATTAAGCACTCGTGCGCAAGACTGATAGGTCCTGGGTTTGAATCTCGCAGGGGCAGGATCGTGGATGCGCACTGCTGAGGAGTCCCATTGTAGGACGAAACGACCTCTCAGTGCTACCATGGAAAACCTGGAGACACTAGACGGTCGTTTCGTTCTACTGTCGAACCGCTCAACAATGCGCATCCACGATTCTGCCATGCGAGATTCGAACTCAAGACCTATCAACTAGGTTTGTTTTTGAGATAGTAACTCAGTGAAGACAGTAGTGGATGTGTTGCTCAATTTCGTGGATTAGTTAAAGTTAGACATTAACACAATTGGATGCCAACCAGCTCAGTGGTCTTATGGTTAAGCGCTTGCGCGTGAAACCGATAGATACTGGGTTCGGAACGGCCATGCAGTGCTTCCAGGTTTCCCATGGTCGTCTAGCTTCAATTGACTCATGATCTCAATTATTAAAATTATTATTATATCCACAAAACTCCTGATACTGCCTTTGTATTCACAGCTATAAGCGAAAGCTATTAGTTATGGGAAATCAGGAAATGTTTGAATTGTTAATAATCACTGAACTATTGCACTTACTCTTCTTATCAATTTTTGAGCGTTTTCTAGACTTTTCAAAAAACAACGATTATGTCAATAGTCAAATGGGAATAGACGAACTTTTTTGTGTATGATTACACCTACATTGATATCCTTCAAATTTAACTCATGACTGATATGCTCGTTTGAAGCTTCTTCCAATGTGACGTTCCATCGGAGCGTTACTGATGTGCTACGGTGACGGAGTAGTAAAATGACATCTATGAAAATGGTGACGTGGAATACTGAAATGAAACATCGATTTACAAACACTATTTGTACCTCGGTTTGCGGGTGTGCGCACAGTGATAACTTCAAGTTATTGAATAAATTATTTATTTCCTTAAGACTGTTACCCTTCGTGGAGGTGCATAGGCCATCCATCAGCACTCTCCATCCAATATTGTTCTGGGCATTCTTTCCCAGCTGCTATTCATTTTTTTCATGTCCGCTTCCGATTTTTGGCGCAGTGTGTTCTTCAACCTTCCTGTTTTCCGTTTCGCTTCAAGATTTCAAGTTAGGACTTGCCTCTTGATGCAGTTTGGTGATTTCCGCAATGTACGTCGTTTCCACTCCTAACGTCTTTTCCTAATTTCCTCTTCAGTTGGAAGCTGGTTTGTTCTCTTACGCAATAGTCTGTTAATGATGGTATCCGGCCAATGGATGTTAAGTATCTTGATTAGACAACTATTATCAATACTTGTACCCTTTTGATGATGGTTGTAGTAGTTATCGAAGTTTCAGCTCCATAGAATTGTCTTGACGTTCGTATTGAAGATTGCGACTTTGATATTGGTTGAGAGTTGTATTTAAGGTCCAGCCCTTGCTTTGCCAATCCTTACCTTTACGTCTATATAAAGAAACTACCTTTTCATTAAATACTTAGTTTACTGTTTATTTAGATTATTTTAACTGTAAGCTTTAATGTAACTTAATATCTGTTGACATATTTTCCTTATATGGAGACGTTTTATTTGTGGTATATTCTTATGAGTTTAAAGTTTGAATAGTTTCAAATAAGTAGGCCAAATTTACATATGTTCTAATAGAGAACCCTAAATTATAAACAAATCCTGACAATGATATTTCTTTCACAAGCGTGTATTCTTTAATAGAAACCGATTCTTTATAATATAAAGTACAACATCGGTTGTATATACTGCTGTTTAGGTATTTTGGTTAAATATGTATGCAGAAAAATGGGAATTTCCTTGATTGGGTCAGTCAGCTACATCGTAGGACCACGCACATAAATGCATCGGTCCAACTTGCCATACCTCATTAACACAGCATGATGAATACCGGATTCATAGAAGTAGTTGATGCAATAATGATAATATATAAAAGGAAGACTGCATGTAAGGATATAGTTCAGGAAAAAAGAATTAATTCGTAGAACGAAAGATGTGAAATAATTTCATCTCATAGTTTAAGGGAAGATAGAGAGTGTATACACCGACGCCATTGTGGTCGATTCTGAGCCATATCACCAAGAGTCTACAACCACCCCTGGTTACGATATTCACGCGGACCCCAACCAAGTAGTCTGCATCTACCAACACGGCTCAGACCAGAAGTTAGTGATTTCAAGCACTGATGCCACATTTTGGTTTGGCCGAAATTAACTTTCTTCCAATCATCCTTAACACCGGTTGTTAACATTGCACGTCTTGGTAATCGGTGTTCAGGCGTACGCAATACGTGACCCAACCATGTCAGTCGATGGAGATTGACAACCTCATCAACCGATTTACCGTCATTCCCTAATACGCCGCGTCTAAACTTATTATTACTTATCTGGTGATCCCAGCAGATGTGAGCAATATTTCTAAGACATTTGTGGTCAAATACTAGTAACTTACTAGCATCTTCTACTCTTGATGGCCACGTTTCGCAGCCGTAAAGTAGAACATAATGAACCGTCACGAACTTAACTCGTCCTATTATTGATAGACGGATATCCCGCCGTCACTATAGGTGACGTAGGTTCGCAAAGGCCAAACGAGCTTTTTGAATCCGCGATGAGTTTTCGTCGAAACCAACTTAATAGGGCTAATCAAACTTCCAAGATAAGTGAAGTTTGGAGAAACCCGCAATATTTGTCGAGATATGTGTCCATGATATATTGATGTGGATGTTGTTATTAAGTTATCGACAACAGGGTTAATTATTTGCAATGTGAAAGGCTATAAAGGGAAAGTT